GGGGGGTTTCCCAAACATGATCAAACAGAATGGGCAGGCATATACAACAGGTGGGGTGGGGGTGGGGAAGAAGAGTGACCCACATCACGCAGGGTCTCCTGAAGCAGTGAGAGGTTCCTACAGAGAGAGCAAGGCTGTTCCTGGGCCCCAAGGGTGGGAGCAAGTGTGTCCCGTGCTCATGATGAAAGAACTAAGGGGTGATTTTAAAAGACACTGAAGGGCCACACTCACCTTCCAGCCCAGAGCGTGCAGCCCCACCACGGCCCCATAGTGAGAGCAGAGTGGGCGCACTGGGTCTGCCAGGACCTTCTGCAGGGAGAGCAGGATCTGCTGGTAGAGGCCACTGACGAGGTCCCCATGGGTCCTGTAGGAGGAGCATTCACTCATGGGGCAGGGGGCACCGGTGGGGCATGCCGGGCTAAGTGGAAGAGGCTGTCTGTACCCAGAGTGCCTGGCTGTAGAAACCCAGCCATGCGTACCAGCGGGAGAGTGAGGGACAGAGGAGTTGCCTTCCTTCTGGGCACCCAGCCTCAATCCTGAAGGCCTCACCCCAGCTCCCTCCCACCACTGCAACCAGCCTGCCCTGGTTCAGCCCTAGGCCAGCGGCTACCAGAAGATGTGGCTGAGTAGGAGGGCGGCCCCGTCACGCAGAGTCCAGTGGTCATTCAGGGGGTTGATAGAGGCAGCTAGTGGCTCCAGGACGCAGTAGAGGACACTGCCCACCAGGGAGCGCACGTAGGGCCCCAAGCAGAGGTGTGGATTCCGAACGAGGCTCCGGGCCACTTGCAGCAGCCGGTGCAGCTGCTCCAGGTCATGGCTCACAGATTTCACCTGTGGGTAGAAGTCCGGCGCTGAGGGGTGCGAAGCTGTGGGCAGGAGCTGTTCCCCCAAGGCCTTGGCCAGGCAGATTGCTGGGCTCCTTCTGCCCCGTCCACCCTAATGCAGCCACTTACCCCGCTGACCACGTACACAAAGTAGGGCAGCAGCGCGGCGATCTTGGAGTTGGTCTGCAGGTCTTGGAGAGCGATCTGTGAAGGAAGGGCCCGGCTGCAGGGACTGTCCGCCAGTATGGGAAACTGAGGACCAGGAAGGGAGTGGATGCGGCCAAATTCCCTATGCTCAAACTTGAGTTTGGAAGGCCCACTCTGGTAGATGAAGGTTCTTCGGATTTGTGAGTAGAGCTGACGCTTAAGTCACATTCTGCGGACTGAAAATCACCCTGAGATCCCCATTGTAGCAGTGCTACTTTAAAGATGTAGTAGTGCTACAGCATGTGGGGCTCACCCTGCAGCCTGAAGGCTATCTGCAGCTAAGAACAATCAAGTCCTTCTGTCGGACCTCTGCCTGCCCCAAGACTGGTCTTGGGCTACTAACACCTTCAACCCCCACCCCACCCCATGAGCTCAGGGATATCTGAGGTTAAGACACTGCCCACCTTGTTCCATGTGGGATTGACAGGGCCTGCATGTCTTAGGACTATATAAACCTGTGGAAGAATACATTCACGCACTTTCTTTTCCCTGATTTCTGGAAAGGTGAGCACACTGCATGCTCGGTCTATTTATTTTCCCTCAATGGCACAGCCATTCCTCAGGATCTGTGGAAACAGAACTGGGAAGAGTGTACGCAACAAATTCCGTGTGCTCATACTTTAAGGAGGCTGGGAAGCCGGGGCTTCCTGGTAGTAGGTTTGAGATGCTTTCCAGTCACATGCTCTAAAGGAAAAGTGACTCCCCACGATGGGCCCCCTCCCCAGTAATAGTGCCAACCTAGCAAGCACATGGTTGCTACTCTATACACTTGAAGGTCAACTGCTTGAAGGTTGTCTCCACTGAGAGCAATCAGACCTATTGTCCATCCCACCCTAGGAAGGGCCCACTCCTTCTGATAAGGATCATAGGTTGTGCCCCTGGAGAGGAGCTCAGGGACACAGGGTGAAGCCAGCTCAGAGACAACCAAAACTAGGCCACCATCTTAACTCCAGGGCCCACCCATCTTGTTATGTCCGAGGAGGTGCCCCCCACACCCAAAATTATTTTTTCAAAGCTATGTACTCATATTCTCCATTATACTTAATACATCTGTCAAATCTGTGATTCCATTCTTGGAAACATTTTTCAAACTCATCTGTTGGGATGGCTGACAGCACCTCTTTTTTTCCCTCACTGTTCTTTCATGTCCCTCTGCATTCTCAGAAACAAAAAGACGTCCCATGGAGTGAGGTCAGGTGAGTAAGGTACATGGAGCAAGAGAGGCATGCTGGGGTTTTTTTTTTGCCAAAAACTGGCACACTGAGACGGCTGCATGAGCAAGTGCATTGTTGTGGTGGCAAAACCAGTCTCCCGTCTGCCACACAACAGGCCTTTTTGTCAAACACTGTTATGCAATCATTTCAGAACCTCTAAAGAGAAGCTTGATATAACAGTCTGACCTGGTGGACCTCCAAATGCACTATCTCCCTTATATCAAAAAAACGAATGAGCATCCTTTTGACCTTTGATCTCACTGGATGAGTTCGTTCTGGGTGAGGGGACCGATGGCGATGGCACCTTACACTGGCTCGATTGGTATTTCCTTTCACCTTGGAAGAAAAACATTAAACTTCCTTGCCAGTAATGACCTTGGGAAAAAAGTCTGGTCACTTTGAAGCTGTTCTTCCAAAGTGTGGCATGTCTTCACTGGAAGCTCTTTTTCCTGGTCAGTCAGAACCCCAGGCACGAGTTTTGCAGAGACCCTTCTCAGTCCCAAATCTTCCTTTAAAATTTGCTGAACTGAGCGCCATGGTAGTGCAGACAACTTCCCCTTCTCTTCAGTGCTCCATCGTAGCTCTTCAAGCACAAGGACTAGAATTCTGTTAACATTTTCATCCATTCAGGAAGTTGTCCAACATCCTGAACGAGGTTTGTCATCAATCAACATTTCACATTTTTTGAAATGAGAAAACTACTCATACACTTGAGCTTTTCCCATAGCGCTGTCTTTGTCAGCTGTTTCAACATCACAACAGTTTCTGCGGCATTTTTCCCCAAGCAGGAAAATTTCACAGCTGCATGCTATTGGCTTAGACGGGCCATCACAAAAAACAAGGTTCAAACTGCTTTTACGAAAAATCTCACTGACCAGAGAGAACCTTCCCAGGCAATGCCACTAGGTGCACTAACTTGGAGCATGCTATTGGATGCTCGCTCCTCTAGCAGGGGGAATGTACTATGAAAGTTCCACTCAGTTGAGTTTTCTGGGTTTATTGGGGGGTACCCTCATATGTACCTTCCCCTGTCACATGTATGCTTCTAATACCTCCCCTATCTATTGCATGTGTACACCTAGCTCGTCCCCCTCATGTTAAGCATATCCCTCTAATACATCGGTTCGCAACCTGTTGGTTGCGATCCTTTTGGGGGTCGAATAACCCTTTCACAGAGGTTGCCCAAGACCATCGGGAAACACATAAATATTTCACAACATATAATTACATATTGTTTTGTAATTAATCACTACGCTTTAATTATATTTATTTTCAATTTGAAACAATGAAAATACACCCTGCATATCAGGTATTTACATTACAATTCATAACTGTAACAAAATTACAGTTATTAAGTAGCAACAAAAATAACCTTATGGTTGGGGGGTCACCACAACATGAGAAACTGTAGTAAAGGGTGGCAGCACTAGGAAGGTTGAGAACCACTGATCTAATAGAGACCCTTCCTGTTAACACTATGTGCTTACCGTGGCTGGCATGCCCGAGATTATATAAGCTTGTGAGCGAATACATTACGGCCTCATTCTGGTTCCCGTCGCCTTGGAAGCAGTGAGCCTTGATGTTCCTTAATTGACCCCTTAATTACACAACCACCCTTGGACTCATTTAGTTGTGGGGAGACTGCTCCCCAACAAGGACCCTATTGGTCATGAGTCTGGACCTCACGCCAGCCAGGGAGAGAGCACCGGACCTGGTGTGTATTCAGCAGGTATGTGCACTTGCTGCTGGTCTGTCCCACACAAAACTGCTTACACACCCTTGCACAGAGCACCTTCCCATAAAACCCCACTAGTGCATCCAAGCTCTCCACCAGATTCCAACCAGGAAAACCAACTTTAAAACCCTCTACATACGAACTCGACCTTGCAGGTCTGGCTAGACCAGAGGATGTACACTGGTACAGATAGGAACTGGAAACACAGGGAATGCAGGGCGGATGA